AAATTTGCAAAATAAGAGTATTGTTTGTTTGCAATCACTAGCACTCGCAGCTCAGGTCAACAGAAAGACGAGACCAGTACGATAGACGATTTATTACGAGACTGAAGATACACGAAATTAGGTCAATAGGTAACGGCGACAGAACGAAAAGCGGAGCTTGATAAGAAACAGTGTTGCTCCATGAGAGGAGCCGAAACGTACAAACTAGGGATCCAACACCCTTCTCCCCTATGGGGAATAGCGAGACGTTGTCTTACGAGTACGACTAGAACGTCGGGGAGAGGGCTCAATACGCGGTGGTTCCGGGGGAACCTTGTCAACGGTACGCGAAGTTTCACGAGCGGCCGAGGGGCATTGCATTGCGGTCGGTGCTGGGGGGAGTTGGTGGTGGTGGTGGTGGGATCAACCCGATGCGGTGATGGAAGGTGCGGCCGGCTGGACCTCTGCGGCGGTGGGCGCGGGAGCCGGTGCTCCTGCAGGCGACGCTCTAAGTTGCTCCGTTGTCACGGGGTACATGTCTGCTTGCTCGTTCTCTGGGATTGCTCTGCGAATCTGCGACTGGTGCCTGTGCCTCCGGTGCAGGTTGCCTTCTTTATCTCTAACTTCCGCCATCACGGCCCCGAGGCGACGCACTAAGGTGCCACGATCCCAATTCTGCTTCCCTTGGAAGACTCTGAACCAAACTGGCTCACTTTCAACTGCTTCTGACTGCGTGCCTGTGGGCACCATATCCGCCTCTCTCCACCCGTCCAGGCGCGATCTCATAGGGCGGTTCAACATCATTTGACACGGGCTCAGTCCATTTGTTGTCGGTGCTCTTCGGTAGGCCATCAAAAATGTGTGTAGTTTCACTTTCAATGGCACTTCTGGCTTTCTGCCATTGCGATTCGTAACGCTCTTTTTAACGTTTGCACAAACCGTTCTGCCTGCCCGTTTGACTGCGGGTGATACGGTGCAGAATGGACTTGTTTTATGCAATTCCGTCCACAAAACTCCTTGAATTGCTTGCTTACGAACTGGACCCCGTTGTCGCTTACCAATGTCACCGGGCAACCGAATCTGGCGAAGCACTCGGTAAGTTTTTCGATGGTTGCTGTTGAATTTGTTCCTTGCACTCGAGTGGTTGGTATGTCGAATATTTCCGGCCATTTCGAGTACGCATCCACCACCAGCAAAAAGTAATGCGGTAAAAATGGCCAGCATAATCTATGTGAACACGTTGCCACGGTCCATCGGTGTTTCCCATGGGTGCGGTGGTACTGCAACTGCGTTTGCATTTTGTTGACAGGGCTTACAGCACGAACGGTGTTTTCGATTTCTCGGTCTATTCCCGGCCAATATACATGGCTACGTGCTAGGCTTTTCATTTTGCTCATCCAAGGTGTCCCGTATGCAATTCTTTCAAATTTCGCTTCTGAAACCCTTGGGCACGAAAACTCTAATTCCATAGAGAACACATCCGTTTTCAATCGCGAATTCCGCTTCTTTTCTCAGGGTTTTTGACTATTTAGCGCTTCGAATACTCTCTTAATTTCGTCGTCTTTTCTCGATTCTTCTGCTAAGTGCCGCATTGACAACGGCAGGACGCTGATCTGGTGCATGTTGACTACACTTGGCTCATCTACGACGTTCTCTTCTGCTGGTTCAACGGGGAACCGGGACAGGAAGTCCGCATTGGAGTGCTCTTCGGACCTCCTGTATCGAATGTCGTAGTCAAAACCCTGGAGAAACATGGCGTAGTGCAGCAGCCTCGTTGCACTTACGTTGGCTTTGCTGCGTTTTATCGAAAATTGCCTTCAACGGTTTACAATCGACATACAAGGTGAATTTACGACCGAAAAGGTAATTAAAGAAACGTCTTTATACCCCAATAGATTGCAAGACTTTCTTTGTCGATTTGGCTGTAGTTGCACTCTGCCTTTGATAGTGCCCTGGATGCAAACGCGATTGGCCTTTCTCCATTCTGAAATTCATGGCTCAGCACCGCACCAATGGCATATGGTGACGCGTCGGTGGCCAGGATTACTCGACGATTTGGCTCGAAATGACATAAAACTCGAGGTGATGCTATCTCCTGCTTAACTCTGTTAATGCTGCTTGGCAGTTCTCGTCCCACTGGAATTCAACGTTCTTTCGCAACAACCTGTTGATGGGGTACAAAATGGAACTCAAATTTGGCAAAAATCGACTATAAAATACTACTAGTCCGGTAAACGACTTCACTTCGGTAATATTTCTAGGAGGGGTGCTTTCAACACAGCATTCACCTTTTCGGAGGTCTTATGAATGCCCTTCTCGTTTATCTTAAATCCTAGGTATTCGAGCTCATTCGACAAAATCTGGCATTTACTTTTCCTGAGTCGAATCCCATTTTCTCTACAAATACCAAAGAATTGCTGTATTTTCTTTAGATGTTCCATAGCCGTCTTGCTAGACACCTTTATATCATCGTAGAAACATCTACACCCCTCCACTGGTTTAAACACCGTTTCTACATATCTTTGCCATTTTGCAGGTGCTGACTGTACCCCATAATTAGCCTTGTTACGTTGAATAGCCTCGAGTCGTATTAACCGTTAACAATTTGCGGTTGCTTCGTCTACACATACATGCATATATGCTTCTTGCACATCAAATTTCGAATAAAACTTACACGAGCCAAAATCTACGAACATCTCTTCAATGTTAGGTATAGGGTAATCTTCAGGGATTATCGCTCGGTTCACCGTGACGCTATAATCTCCCGCTAGCCGCACTGTCCCGTTCGCCTTCGGCACCACTACCAACGGAGTTGCCCAGCTCGATGACGTGGCTGGTACGTAGATGCCTAAAGAGATCAAACGGTCTATTTCAATATCTACGTTAGTCTAAAAGAATACACTACATTTCGATGTCTACAGAATATCGGTTTAACGGACGGATCTACATCTATGTGC